ATCAAGTTTTTAATTCACTCACATGACATATCATAAGTGCTCAGTAAATGATGGTTGCTACTGTTGATGATAATAGTTGTTATTGTTACTATTGAAAAGAAAGAAAGGAAGAAGCAACAAGAAAGAACATAAAGGAAGCTCTCAAAATAAGATTGGTTCAGGTAGAATTCAGCTGATTGGGTAAAAAGGAAGAGAGGGGTGGGACATCTATCTCCAAATCTGATTTGTTTATTTTATTATAGGTAAGTTCCTTACTGGCTAAATTGTTTGAAATTTTTTTTTCTGTAAAACTGGTAAAATGGATGTATCATATTTGTCCTCCAGCTTCTGTTGATTTCCATAGTTTGAGCAACTCAGGTTTAGACTGATAGGCATGCATAATTGGCAGTTATTTTGAAATATACAGTTTTTATTTATATATGTTTGGTGCTGGGATTGAATCCAGGGTGCTCTAACACTGAGCCATGTCGCTAGCCCTTTTTTATTAATTTTGAGGTTGGGTTCCACTAAATTGCCAAAGCTGTACTCTAGTTTGTGATCCTCCTGCCTCAGCCTCCCAAGTAGCTGGGATTACAGGTGGCCACTTCTGGTTTCAGTAGCATTTACAGAGAGAACTGCTCTGGTTGAGTGATTCCCTGGGGGTGGGCTGTTTTCCTCCAAAATAATGTCTGTTTGTAAAATTTAATGATGTTTTGCTTTTTCTAACTCTCCTTTCCTCCCGTAACATTTGATGTCATTAAACTCTTTTTCCCAGCTGAAATATTCTTCCTTCCTCACAGACTGTCTTGATTTACCTGCTGGTTTCCTATTTTATCTCAGATCTTAGCCTCCCCTCCCCCACCCTTCCACACTGAGACTTGAACATAGTCCCTCTCAACTGGCACTCTATCACTGAGTTATATCTCCAGCCCTTTTTATTATATTTCGAGATAGGGTCTCACTAACTTGCCCTGGTTAGCGTGGAACTTGCAATCCTCCTGCAGGCCTGGACACAGTGGCTGGATTACAGGCATGTACCACTACCCCTGTCTTATCTCAACCTCTATTTTTTGAGATTCTGGGGAATTGAACCCAGGGCCTAGTGCATGCTAGGCAAGCACTCTCCATTGAGTCACATCCTCACCTTCAGTCTGCTTCCATTCCCTTAAATACTGTTGTTTTCCAAGACTCAGCCCTAAGTCTGCCCTTCTTTTCTAGTATGTCTATGTGAGAGCTTATCTTCTTTCCAGGCTTCAGCTATCTCCAGCAGCAGCACACCAGAGCAGAACAATCTCTCTGTCCTGTCAGTGGTATCACCTTCTTGCTAACCATGATATCATGAGACTTGGCACCTTGAGATGGGGCCCTGTCACTGGGATACCAGTGCCCAATGGTACACAGACTTTCCAGGAGATACACAGACATGGAGAGTTGTAAGAAAAGCAATTCTAAGGGGTGGGGTTGTGGTTCAGTGGTAGAGCACTCGCCTAGCATGTATGAGGCCCTGGGTTCGATCCTCAGCACTGAAAGGCGAGTGACTCACCCAAGACAGAGATTCAACCAAGAGATTTTATAGGGGGGTTGCCCGAAGGAGAGGAGAAGGGCAGAAAGAGAGAAGGAAAGGGTAGAGAGAGGAGAGAAAGAAGAGGAAGAGGGCAGAGGACAGAGAGAAGAGAGCGTGTGCTTACAAGCTTTGGCTTAAGAAAGGTTGCGTAGGGGACATAGTGGGTGCTATTGGCAGGGTGACTCATTAGACTCTTTTTCCCAGCTGAAATATTCTTCCTTCCTCACAGACTGTCCAGGGACACTGTGTCATATGGGGATTGGTCGAGGAAACCTTTGAATTTGATGTTCTTGGCTTGGAGCCCTTTGGAGAGGAGAGGGAGGGTAAGGGATTCCATGATGTTCTCCAAGAAGGGGGAGTCTCTCACACACCCAACAAGCACCACATAAAAATAAATAAATAAAAACAAAGGTATTGTGTCCAACTACAACTAAATAAATAAATAAATATTTTTTAAAAAAGAAAAGAAAAGCAATTTCAGGTTGTCAACCTCCATCTGTGCTTTTTCTAAAATTGGTATGGTATGCTTGAGGCTATGTCTATACCATGAGACATCATCTTTCCTAATTTTTTTTTATAATCATCCTTTTAAAAAAAAGGACTGGCCTCTTAATGTAAGCCTGTTATCCCAGCAACTTGGGAGGCTGAGGCATGAGGATTACAAGTTCAAGACCAGCCTCAGCAATTTAGCAAGATCCTGTCTCAAAAAAAGTTTTTAAAAGGACTGGGGATGTAGCTCAGTGGTAGAGAGCCCCTGGGTTCAGTCCCCAGTACTGAAGAAGAAAAAGAGAGAGCAAAAGGAAGGAAAAAAAGAGGGAGCTCCTGGGTATGAGCTCAGTGATAAAGCACTTGCCTCACATGTAGAAGACCTTGGAGGTCTTGGGTTCAATCTGCAATGCATAAAAAATTGAGTGGGGCATGATAGGTTGTCCCATGGTATAGAAATTTGACAGGACAGCTGGCCAATGGCACAGGCCTATAATCCCAGCTGTTTAGGAGACTGGTACAGGATTACAAATTCAAGGCAAGCCTGGGCAATTTAGTGAGACGCTGTGTCAAAATTAAAAGGATCAGGGATATAGCTCAGTGAGTGATAAAGCATTTACCTAGCTTCAATCCTGAGCTCCACTGCCCACCATACCCCCCACACACACACACCCCCAAAAAAAAAAACCTGGCCTATTTGGTTGTTTTCTCTCAAATCCTGATTCTGGGATGGTCAAATAAATAGTTTCATTTGGGCTGATAACATGGAACTTTTATTTCTTTAGTTTTTTTCTCTTTCTTTGGTATTGGAGTTTGAACTCAGGTGTACTCTATCACTGGGCCATATCCCAAGCCCTTTTATTATTTATTTTTAATGTTTTTAAACAACATCTTTATTTTGTTTATTTTTATGTGGTGCTGAGGGTCGAACCCAGTGCCTCACATGTGAGAGGCAAGTGATCTGCCACTGAGCCACAACCCCAGCCCTTATTTTTAAATTTTGAGACAAGGTCTCATTAAGCTGCTGAGGTTGACCTTGATCTTGTGAGCCTCTTGCCCCAGTCTCCTGAGTTGCTGAGATTACAGGCATATGCCACCACACCCAGGTCTTTTATTTTGAGACATGTCTTATTGAGTTTCCCAGGCTGGCCTGGAATTTGTAATCCTCCTGCCTCAGCCTCCCTTAGCCTCCCAAGTAGCTGAGATTACAGGCATATATCTCTGTGGCTGATAACACAGAACTTAAGCAGGAGTAATTTTCAGCTAGGTCTGTTGAGGCCCACTGTAGGAGTTTAGTCCAAAATAATGGCTTCCTGTAATTCTTATTTAACAGATTGCATGGCAGATATTCACCATATACTTAAAACACATTTTCAACAGGACTTGGTAGCACATACTTATAAATCCCAGTGACTCAAAGAGGCTGAGTCAGGAGAATTGCAAGTTTGAGGCCAGCCTCAGAAATTTAGGGAGACCCTACCTCAAAAAATAATTAGAGCTGGAGGTGTAGCTCAGTGGTAAAGCACCCCCAGATTCAATCCCAGTACTAAAAAGATTAAATAAGTTAAATGAAAATTAAAAGCACATCCTCAATAGACTAGCACACATGCAGCCAGGCAAGGTGATACATTCTGTAATCTCTGCTTCTTGAGGGGCAAAGTAGGAGGATCCCAAGCTAAAGACCAACCAGGAAGTTTAGCAAGACCCTGTCTCAAAATAAAATATAAAAAGGGCTGGGGAATATAGCTCAGTAGCAGAGCATCTGGATTCAGTCCCTGGCATTGTGAAAACAAAATCAAAGCACATGCACCCACACACGTACATCATTTGCTGTTGTTTAAACTTAAAAATTTTAGGTGGCATCATTTTAAAAGTGCTGGGATCAAAGATTCAATCCCTAGCATCAAAAATAAAGTGAGAGAAAGATAATAGTCACAATTCTTTTAGCAGCTATACCACCAAAAATGTTTGAAGACTCTGTGTTAATAGTTTAACCATCTTTGATGTGTCCTCTTCCCTCAGAACCTATCAATCCTCTTGATTTTTTTTTTTTTATCAATTTCAGACACTACCTGGTTTTCCAAACTTTCCTATTCATTCCTATTGCACTATTTTCCCCCTGTTTTAATTAGCCCTATCTCTTGGAATGAACATCCCATGCTCTTTCCTACCTCCATGTCTTTGTGGCATTATTCTCCTCCCTAGGAATGTCTTTGCTTCTTTCTTTATTTGAATTTTACTCATCCTGACTACTCTGGTTGAAGCTGATCTCTCTTCTCTAATTCTACAACATTGTCTATTTCATACAATAGCACTTGCCACAGAACATCATATTTTATATATTTTTAATCTCTAAGAAGTAAGTTCCTTAACAGTAAAAGCACCTCTTAACAGTTCTGCCATATTCCTCTTAATGCCTAGTGCAATGCTAACCACATAATAGATGCTTAATAAATATTTTACTGACCCAGAATATAGAGCATTCATTCACTCTCTTTGATTGTTTCATCAGTTCAACAAATATTTTGGGGGTCTAGGAATGATGCTAGGCACTAGGGTACAATAGAAAACAAAATAGACAACAATCCCTGTTTGCAAAGACTGATAAATAAAATATATAGTATGTTAAGTAGCAATAAATATTGAGGAGAAAAATAAAGCATGGTAGAACAGGGAATGTTTGTTGATGGGAAGGTTGCAGGGGTGGGGAGTAGTTGTTGTATGCAATTTTTGTTGTTGTTGTATGCAATTTTAGATAAGCCAGTCAGGGAAGACCTCAATGTTAAGGTGATGTTTATTGACGATCTGAAATGCTTATTTGTAGACAAGCGCATTCTAGGCAGGGAACCCATTCATGTGAAGACTCTAAGGTTGGCCCTGCCTAATATTCTAGGAAAGGAGAGCTTTGTGGCTAGAGCAGAATGATGAAGGTCAGAGAAAAGATGAGTCACAGAAAAGTGGGTCAAGGGGCTGGGGATGTAGCTCAGTTGGTAGAGTGCTTGCCTCACAGGCACAAGGCCCTGGGTTCGATTCCCAGCACCACAAAAAAAGAAAAGTGGGACAGGGAGAAGAGTTGACAGATCAATCCTGTAGGTTCTAGTAGTTTGGTTTGGAATTAAACCCAGGGGCACTTTACCAGTTCTAGCCCTTTTTATTTTAATTTGAGGCAGGGTCTCAGTAGGTTGCCCAGGCTGGCCTAGAACTTGCGATCCTCTTGCCTCAGCCTTCAGAATCACTGAAGTCACAGACAAGCATCACCACACCTAGCAGCTTTAATGTAGATAGTACATTTATAATTTAGAGAGGGTTCCCAGCAAGCTATAACCAATATCCTTATAAAATAAATATGATACAAATCTTCAGAAACACTGATGTAAAGGAAATCCCTTAGTCATTTTGTCATTAGAAGAGGTGAGAGCAATTCCTAGAAAAGGGGTCCTCAACTCCAGTACTAGTGGGGTCCTTAATGGAAAAGAATTAATGTAATGGAAAAGAATTTCAGCACATGTCATTCAGAGACTCATAAATTTATTAAGGAAAGCAGATAAATATTCAAAGGAGAATGAGGACTATCTCAAGAGTGAGATGTGCTTTTGGGATCTTGGGCTCTTTTAAAGGACTTGGTGAGGGGTGGGTATGAGAAGCTATATGGGGATGACAGCAGTCTGGTGATCACAAGACAGTTTAGTATGATCATTCTCAGGACCCCTAGGCTGATGTGGCATCCATTATCCAATCAGTAGGTAATGCTGGAAATCATAGATTTCTTAAAATATTGTATCTCTTTGCTTAATCTAGTTATTAGTAGGCTGATTAACAGTACACAAGGTATTATTTTATAAGTGGATGAATTTATAGTAACTAAGATTTACAGATTTCTCAGAAATTTAGGAATGACAGACCTGGAAGAGAGACTGCTTTGGGGAGTGACAGGCCTGAAAAAGTATGTGAAGCTTTAAATTAAAACTATACTTCCTTAAGCTGGGCGCAGTAGAGCATACCTGTCATCCCAGTGACTCGGGAGGCTGAGGCAGGAGGATCACGAGTTCAAAGCCAGCCTCAGCAATGATGAGGCGCTAAGCAACTCATTGAGACCCTGTCTCTAAAATAAAATACAAAAAAGGGCTGAGGATGTGGACGGGGGTTGTGGCTCAGCTGTAGAGTGCTCGTCTGGCACATGTGAAGCGCTGGGTTCGATCCTCAGCACCACATAAAAACAAATAAAATAAAGGCATTGTGTCCAACTACAACTGAAATTTTTTTTTTTTTTTTAAGGGCTGGGGTTGTGACCCAGTGGTCAAGTGCCCCTGAGTTCAAACTCTGGAACCAAATATACACACACACACACACACACATACATACACACATACATACACACACTTGTTCTTCCTTTTGTCTCCTTTCTATATGTCTTTTATGTCTTCTGTCCTATTTCAATTTGATTGTTACACTGTATGAAAAGTAGATTCAGAAGCTCTGATATGCACTTGCCCCAGCATTTTTCAGAGAAAGCTGTTCTACCACCCTCTGGCCTTATGTGAATGTGTATAGATATAATTTAGTGAACACATAGAATATTTTAGGCACATTTTGATAACTACTGTATATGCATTTTACCTCCTTTAGTCCCTAAAACAACTCATTGAGGAAACTGATGCTCAAGATGAAACAGCTATTGTCAATAACTATTGGTTAATCAACCAAAAAATAAAGTATGTGGGATAATACCTTATGGAAGATCCAAAGATGTATGTATGTATGTGCATATGAATGTTGGAGGCCATTAGGAAAAGGGTTACAAACATATGAATTTTTTAATTTTAATTTTTTAATTTTTTGGTACTAGGGATTGAACCTGGAGGCCCTTTACTGAGCTATATCCCCAGTCCTGTCTATTTTTTATTTTGACACAGAGTCTTGCTAATTTGCTGTGGTTGGCCTCAAACTTGAAATCCTCCTATGTCAGCCTCCCATGTTGCTGAGATCTATAGGTGTACACCTCCATGCCCAGCTTAAAAATTTTAATACAAAACAAAAATGTGAGGAATGATTTGTGAAATGAGAATTTTAGGCCTATATGCCAGGTACTTAAGTCATAAGTCCATAATACACTGAGTCATGAGTTTGTTGTGTTCCAAGGTAGCCCTACAGAAGGAGACACTTGAACTTGGGTTTTTTTTTTTTTTTAATTTTTTTTTTTTAATATTTGTTTTTTAGATCTCGGCGGACACAACATCTTTGTATGTGGTGCTGAGGATCGAACCCGGGCCGCACGCATGCCAAGCGAGCGCGCTACCGCTTGAGCCACATCCCCAGCCCTTAATATTTATTTTTTAGTTCTCGGCAGACACAACATCTTTGTTTGTATGTGGTGCTGAGGATCGAACCCGGGCCGCACGCATGCCAGGCGAGCGCGCTACCGCTTGAGCCACATCCCCAGCCCTGAACTTGGTTTTGAAGAATAGCTAGGACCTGGGGCTGGGGTTGTGGCTCAAGTGGTAGAGCGCTCGCCTAACATGTACATGTGAGGCGCTGGGTTTGATCCTCGACACCACATAAAAATAAAATAAAGATATTTTGTCCACCTAAAACTAAAAAATAAATATTAAAAAGAATAGCTAGGACCTTACTTAGTAGAGGGTTCTTAGGGAAATTATTATACCTAAAGGAACTGGTATGAGCTAAGATGGAGACATAAAACATGTAATATGTGTTTGGGCAAAAAAAGGCAAATCAGTTTTAACTGAAGCAGAAAAATGGAAGCTTTAACTAGAAATGTAGTTTAGAAAATAGGAATTCCTAAACTAGGAATTGGGACTTGGTGAGTAGTCTGTTGGGAGCCATTGCCGGATTCTAAGAAGGAGTTGAAAGTTTATTCTAGTGTAGGATTACAGGAGTATGTGGTTGCAGACAGAGGTCAGAGGGTCATTATAAGAGTTTCAGGCTGAGGTACTTGAGGTAGCATTGAAAAAGGGGGATGGGGATAGTGATACTGATAGTGAGAGACCTGGGAAAGGAGGTATCAAAGGATTTGATGATCAGCTACAGGGAACCAAGGAAAGGCAAGATGCAAAGACAGCTTCAAGTATTTGAATGTGGTTGTGTACCTGGAGAATGGTAACACCATTAATTTTAATAATGCTAAAAGAAGACCAATTTAAAGAGAAAGTCATCCTTTAGTTACATAGGATTTGAGCTGGTATGAAATATTATACTAAAAATATCCAGCAAGGGAACAGGAAACATGGAACAGAAATTTGAGTAGTTAGGACTAGCTTGTCTTTGGCATAAAGATTATATTAAGTTACATGAGCATAGGTGGTGTTTCCAAAGTTGCAGAGAGTCCTCCTGGAGGTCAGCTGTATTTAAGAGCCAGAAGAAAGCCTTCAGTGAAACAAAAAGATAAGTGGGTTCAATCTACACAAACTATAGTCAGCCAACCCATGCCAGTCAAAGCAAGCATAGAAAATAAGAGTAAATGCTCAGGAACTTTTATAGCAATTTGACATTACTGCCACAGCCACATGGATGACTTTGTATTTTATAAAAGGTTTGGTCCACAGTGGATGGGAAATTTAAAAACTGGTCTAGATGAGAAGTACTGGGTTACAGGAAAAAGTTAGAAGACCTACTCCTAGGCATGTACCCAAGAGAATGCAAAAGATAGGTTCACTTAAAAACTTATACACAGTCGGGCATGGTGGCACATCCCTGTAATAGCATCCACTCCAGAAGCCAAGGCAGGAGGATAGCAAGTTGTAGGTCAGTCTGGGAGACTTAATGGGACCCTATTTCAAAATTAAAAAAAAAAAAAAAATTAGCTGAAGATGTAGCTCAGTGGTAGAGAACCCCTGGGTTTCAATCCCTAATACCAGGAGGAAAAAAAAAAAGGAAGAAAGAAAAAGTAAAGAATCAGAAGGTTGTATATCTCAAACCAATGAAAAAGAAGTTCTCAAATAAAACAGAGCAATTGAAACTAGGAAGGAAGAAAAGGACTGCATTATAAGAAGAAGAAAAACAAAACAAAACCATCAGTGGCTGCCAAAGTATTACCCACACAATCTTAAAGTTACCTGAATCATTGAGTACATGTTGTTTTAATCTTCCAATTGAAGAAACAGGAAATATGCATAAAGCAGATCTTTGTCCTGGTGGAGAATAGTGGCTCTCTGGAGGAAACACTTGGGCAATAACTTGAGTTATATTCTGGTTTAGCAGCTTCTTTTTTCATGGGCTACCAGTTTTACTTGAAAGAATAACTGACAACCTAGTTATTTGGACTTAACATTTGGCAGACAGTCTCTTGAAATTTTTCATTTCAAGGAAAACAACTGACAATGTTTATAGCCAATGATAAAATTCAAGCTTTCAAGTAAAAATTCGAATTTTAGAAAAATGCGTTCACTACTATCATGAGCTTGACCGTTTCCCAATATGTGGACTTTTCTGCTTAAATCAATGGTGATATGAAGGAATGTGTATTTCTTATACTATAGTCTAATGAAGTATATTAATATTTGAAGATCTGCCTGACTCAGTGAGCCCATATTTTCTAGCTGACCAATGTCTGATGTTATAGAATCATGCTTGGGCTATAGACCCATTCAAAACTCAAGAGAGACGTGGGTTTTTTGTTTTGTTTTGTTTTTAAACCTTTTTATTTAGAGACGAGGGTATTACTCTGTTGCCCTGGGCTGATTTCAAACTGCTTCCTCAGCCTCTGGAGTAGCTAGGACTATAAGTGTGCACCACGTTGCAGGCATCAGTGGATAACAATGTGAAAAGTTCCTTGATATGGTTTCACATTCCACATTACAACTAACGTTTAAGAAACTATTACTTTTTGATTTTCATATAGTATCAAAGGAAAATATCCACTTTTGGTTTTGTGGTGATGTTGTTGTTTTGGGGGTTTTTGTACTGGAGATTGAACCCAGGGCACTATATCACTGAGCCACATCCCCAGCCCTTTTTATTTATTTATTTATCTATCCATCTATCTATCTATTTTTATTTATTTATTTTTGTAGTTGGGGATGGACAGC